TTATCGTTACACGATTTGGAATTAGAGATTGTAATTCTTGAAATTTGTTTAATGCCATTGCTGAAATTATTGGTGCCGAATTTTAAAACGCCATTAAAGTTTTGTTAATTGTTTGCACTCGTTGTGCAGTTGAAAACTTTTAATTTTGCACGTAGATTATTGCGCTTGTGTATACATATCTTTACGAGTGCTTAATTGCACGTCGTAAATAGTACTATTACGTACTGCAATTACATTTACGCACACGGTTAAACAACGGTACAGCTATTCGGACTTTCTACGTTTGACTTTAAAACACACTCGTGTTTCCAATATTATCTTTGACATAGAATTTAACGATATGCGAGGAAAATTTGCAAAATTCTGTTCACCGATCGCGTTTAGGAATCGATAGGAATCGTATTTAAGCAAGATATCTGCACTGCACATTTCGTAGCGCATGAAATGCAGCAGCAGCAGCTTTCGAGTCATCCTATTATGTCATTGATAAAATTAGAAACAACATTATTATCTTATTCGCATGCAAAATCTGTGCGCGTAATGCAGGCAATTTTTCATCTTTACCGTCCGCGCGTTTATCATTGTCCTGGAAATAATTCTTCGCTGTATTGTATAATCGTCAACATGTTTTTTCTTCGCGATACTGTGTTACTCGTTTATCAGCTTTCACCGTAGATTAAACGTACGGCAACGTCAAATCGTACGATATTCGGAATATTTCTCTATCTTCTTGGGCTCCCTGTTATTTTCTTCACCGTAACCCCGGAATAGCGTTACTATCGATGAAAACACGAGGAAATTCGCGAGCCATTGGTACCCAACGATTCCGTTCGTTGTATTCGAGAGACACATTGGCACGTAACGTATCATACGGAAGTTTCCAACTTTTTCAGAGCAGCAGCGTTTATCAGAAAGGACTCTAAAGTCCAATCATAGCGAAGCAGCGCAAACGATAAAGCATGTTTGAGACGGCGCTGAAGCGAACTCGTTTTTAGCAAGGTCAGTTTCGCGCTGTTCCTTCGATAGCGGTAGTCCATCGCGGGTAAAAATGAAGCACAGTGAAGAAGCGGTCTTTTTCTCCGCAATCTCTCAATTTCGCGATCCATAAAATGTCAAAGTGGACATTTAATCGTTCCTCCTTTGAAACGTACTTTTCCACACGATAACGCGAAAATAATACCGGCCTGGTGGACGTTAACGATATCGCTTCCTTGCAGCGTCTAAATAGTAACGCGGACTGCACCGGTGCCTACACGTACTCGACAATTGATCTTGTTATCGTTCCTTGACACAGTATTTTTCAAACGTGCTGCTATGTTACTCAACGGATTAACATGGAATACGGTAAGTTGGTGATCGATGAACGAATTGTCCAAGGGTACGCGAGTTGTGCGTATGACGAATCGGTGGACACGCGACGTAGCCGACGCCGTTGCTCCCACCGTCGTAGTCCGTCCAATACCGAAGTGAAAAGTGACGCTAGTCATCCAGCCTCTTGAAGCGAGTGGTGACGCCCCGCGCCGGGTCAGCCTCTCGGCTACGCGCCACCAACTTAAGTAGTTATGTTTACGCTGCGTTCGCGATCGAATGCCTATCTTACGTATCTCGCGATGTCGCGGTAATCGTGCGGGTCTAGACTGGCATAATGTGCCCCGGGAGCAGACACTGTTCTACGCTGTAAACCGTAATTCCATCGGACGAATCCGTTTAACCTATCCCCAGTAGTAGTTGCCCAGTAGTAGTTGCGTTCTTACGCGTTCTCAACTTTGTTTTGCCGCCGAGCATGTGCCCTGTGTGCTTCGATAGATGGCACACGATGTTTCCATACTGTGCACGATACACACTGTCATGCGAACGTTAGACTGGCTATTGGCTGAGATATCGGATCGCCTCGATGCACGAATGCGAATACCAGGCAGCCGAATGTAGATGATTATCTCTGTGCTTTCTAGATGATTATTTCTGTGATTTATTCAGCTATCTGGAAAAAGGAGACGCGCACGGTGTGCATTTGTGTTTATCTCGACTGCGATTAATATGCATCGACTCGATGTGCCGGGGAAGATTGTTGTGAAAGAGAGAAAGGAACATCTGGTGAAGTAAAGGTGCTAAAGAGCTGGTTACTACGAGAAAATACATTTGCGCCGGACCTTCTCGAACATGCACTCCTACACGTATCGTGCCGTTTACTATACCTTGAAAATTCTCGAGATATAGTATCGGTTTGCATACGCGCTTCCAAGGCAAAACTGCCAATCGATCGAGGAGAGGGCATCATCTTCTTTCAAACGCATCGATTCCAATCATCGATCCTCGGATTAAGCTCTTCTCGAGCTTAAATGGCGACTATGGGAGTTATCGTGTATATACCACGTAGGTAATTTTTCTCGCCAGTGTCGTTCCAATACGTGTTACTATCGATTCCCCGTGCTCGATGTTGACAGTGACATGGAGAAAATGCGCGGTATTTTCGTCTTTTCCGCGTTAATTTCATCCTCGACTCTGACCGCGCGACGTATGAATCATGTGTAAATCGCATCTATTCGTAGTTTCAGTGTTTTCGTCCTTATCCTCGTATCTTACTGTTAACCCCGAGTGGCGTTAAAAAGCTGGAAAACATAAACGGCGTTCGAGATTCGTCGATTTGGTCGTAACAGGGAAGAGAGAAGCGTGATACAAGCGAGCTTTGGAATTCGTATATATAGTTGGGCATATACATGGTTCACAATGTGCAGAGTACGTCACGTGTTTGATATGCCATCGACCTACATGTACTCTGGATTAAACTCTGTGACCAGCATTGAATCTATCGAACTCGAATAGCGCTCGACTTAGCCGTCGTCAGACAGGAATTACGACTTATTTGAATAAGAATAACGTTATATAATATTGCCCCGCGCATTTATAGATTCCATTGAAAAGTAAATTCGAAAGTCCGATAGCTTATCGCTGAAATCAAAAGCGCTGAGTCACGACAATTCAACGACTTATCCGCGTGCATTTGCTCGCTGTATTTTCCACCTTTCGTTTACTCTAGTCGAATTTATAACACCTGCCATTAACGGATAACTCGTTACTCGATGCATTAAACGATGTATTAAACGAAATCGTTAAATCGAAATGAGCAATCGTTAAATCCGGTACATTGTAAACATATTATGCAGCGGTCACGTGATTAACCGACACCTTAAAACTCGGATCAAAATTTCATCCACTGGACTGTGATATCGAATCGTGATTATTCCTCCAACTTTGCTTTATTTTTATTTTTATTTTTATTTTTATTTTTATTAATATTCGGAAAATAACACGTTTCAAAGTCAGAGGAAATTTGTTAGATATAATACATATGAAAAATGTGTTGTCGATGATACCGAGAAGTAAAAAATTGCAATAAAGCATTGTATTTCCTTTCGCAAAATTAGTTGATAAGAACGAATGAAACTCGATCTCAGTCACGTACGTTTCTGTGGCAGCTGAGTATGCTGAATGATTCTAAGAAACGTAGTATCGGTGTACCAGCGCATCTTATCTCCTTTGAAAGCAACGTTCCTGAGTTAATTTCTCCTATATCTGACATGGATTCTAAAAGTGATATTGATTTTTATTCGAATTCTTATCCTTTTCGTAATATCGTCTCCGACCAAGTTACAGGCTTGTATTCAGACTGTACGAACGTATCTAATAAAATGTAATTACGTTTCTCCAGCCAAATACGCTTACTCGTATTTATCTCTAAATGTGCAAAGGCTAGAATTAATTATTCTTGATTATTCAGGCGGAATATCTTTTGTGTATAAAGATCGGTGTTAGTTGCGAATTTATTTGAAATTCGACTGGGCACGTTGGAACCGATGATGTATAAAATGGATATATTTTTATTCGGAAGGTTACGATTTTATCGTATAATTTGTCGCGATATTATGATTTTATCTGGAATAATTGATAGCTTCAAAATATAGCTGATATTAATAGGCATGGTTAATCAACAAGTAATCCACGCGACCATTGGACCTTGAGCCTTCCTCTGTCTTGCGGTATGCGTATTTTCATTCTGTTCGTTAATGAAAATCGTATACATGCCTTGTTTTTCAACTAACCAGTTTGTAGAATCTAGTACTGATACTTAAGCTCGTCTTCTTTAATGCAACTCTTTCTACTTATACCGTTATTCGATAACTCCGTTAAAAATATAATACGTATGAAATTATCGCTAAATAATAATCTGGAAAAAATTCGAGTACCTATTGTAACGTAGCTTGTTATTGAATAATATTTTCGTTTAACAACGAACAATAGTTATATCGTAATATCGTAGTTATATAAATAATTAATAATAATATAGTAATAATAATTGTTATCATAATTGAAATTAAATTACAGTATTATAAATTCAACATCGTATCGTTTTCTGTGTATTAATGACATTTGTTTGACATAAACGAATACCTTAGCTTGATTGAAAGACATACCTCCACCCACAATATTGAAATGAAATTCAGTCGCTGCTGGTGACATTCCAGCGAAACACATTATTCGCGCAAAAAAGTTACTAGGAATATTCTAATATAACATCGGTTAGCATAAAAATTATTTCAATCAAAAGCGGACTAACTCGTTTCTATTCATTAAAGTTTCAAATGCAATTCCCCTTGATCCCGGCCTGTAATACGTAAACAAAACCGAGCGATTCTTAAAAAGGAACGAACATTTCAACGTTAATTAGAGCGACATTTTTTCCCTAGATATCGGCATCCTTACTCGTTCACTTTCTCTTATTTATTTTCAACGGTAATTACCTTTTATCGATGTTCATAATCGACGTATGAATTTAATTAAAATAGGTATACTTTACGAAATTATATCCCGAATGATTATTTTCATACGCAAATTCGCATTATCGGTTTTTCTCCATTTTCTTTACCCGATTCAGCAGGCTTCTTCCATTTCGTTGGATCATGGTAATAATAATGCATTATGTATGTAAATTGTTGTTGCAGGCATGTATACCATGCGCATGTTAGATAATGGTAATAACAACGCTTCGGGTCCAACGGGAGCAGCGGCCTTGTCAGGAGTTCAGACAGCTGGTGGTACGACCTCTTCGGCAACAGGCGTTACGACACTTCCGGGTGTAACAGACGAAAGGATGGATGCATCCAGCGATAGCGCTGTCAGCAGCATGGGCAGCGAACGGGTACCATCCCTTTCGGATGGCGAATGGATGGAAACTGGTTCTAATTCTAGCCATACACAAGCCGATTCTCATTATACTATGGATTATGCTAGGTGATTAAATTAAACTGGAATAATCAAATAATTTCAATAATATAAATAATTTAATAAATAATTTCAATCTGATGATAACTTAAGAACCAGTCCTGTAATTAACAAATATTAACCCTTTACCCTCGACGTTTTTTGAGTCTTTATTTACCGAAAATAAGCAACTGCTTGAATTACTTAAATTCGAAATATAAATTGCGACAATATTTAATATAATCAGTGAACAAAATTCCGAGGACTGTATCGTGAAATAAATTTCGAACAAAATACTTGAAATAATAGGGAATTATTGCCAAGAAAATTGGAAAATAATTCCGAGTGCAAAGGGTTAAGATTAACAAACCGAGAAAACTACCTATTTTCTCATTAATACCGAAGATAAATGACAAATAAATCTTCGTTTATCTACCCTAAATAGAAATACCAAATTGATAAATTTTCTGCACCCAAATTAAGGATGAAATTAATTTAAAATTTATATTAATTCGTGATTTTTCTTTAAACAAATATTCCGTAATAAATATCGATTAAAATATATGTATATTAGAAGTATTTATCGAAATATCTCCCTAATGTTAATCACTCTTGTGTGATAATGATTGTTTTGGTTTTAGCAAATACCGCATGTCATACGACTGCAGCTATTCCGTTTCCGGAAGGAATGCTGGTTCTCCAAGATGTCAAACGGAGCGTACCATGCCTCCGGTTGCTCAAAAGAAGCATCAAATGTTTGCAAAACGATACTTTCAGGAACAAGGAACTGGTTAGTTTATTTGGAAAAAAGAGAGAAAAAATAGCAACTGATCGATCGAATGTATCAACATCGTAGATTAAATTAACGTAATTAAAATTTAACGGATTTAAAATTTATTTCATACACGATAGGTTCGCCTCTCGGAGCTACAGCACATCCGACGACTCCAATGAAGTATGAATATGATTCACACACAGTTGGCGCTGGAGCACCAGGAAATGCTTATTCTGGCCCGATTGAGGGTGCAGCTGGGCCTCAACCTGAAATAAAATATAGTTGTAGTGTAGATTTCAGTCGTCATCAATCAGGTAAAATTAACCTAATTCTTAATTTTACGTGTTAATTTTTCTTTTTATTTTCAAATTATTTATTCACCGAATGATAACCTATCGAGTAATAACACTTTCTTCTTATTTGTATTTTTAGGACGTTCAGCTATAGAACACGTTCATCATAATCATACGTATCATTTACCTGCAGAAAGTTCCGGATCTCTTCAACGTCCAGTTTCTCGTGACAAGAAAGGTAAACTACGTAAATCGAGCATAGAATGTAATTGTTTAGTAATTTCATGTAATATTATCTTTATAATTTATTAATATGTTTGTTTCAGTACGTAAAAGCGATAGCGAAGAGCATCTAACCAGAGATGAAAAAAGAGCAAGAGCATTAAATGTCCCCATTCCCGTGAATGATATTATCAATCTTCCAATGGACGAATTTAACGAACGTCTTAGTAAATACGATCTCAGTGAAGCTCAATTATCTTTGATACGTGATATTAGAAGACGGGGCAAGAACAAAGTCGCCGCTCAAAATTGTCGCAAGCGTAAACTAGATCAAATCATTAGTCTTGCTGATGAAGTGAAGGAAATGAGAGACCGCAAGATGAGGCTTATTCGTGAACGAGAATTCATGCTTATTGAAAGACAACGCGTGAAAGACAAATTTAGTCAGCTTTATCGTCATGTGTTCCAAGTTAGTATACTCTGTTGATTATTTTATGGCTATTTTGTATCTGGTAACGTTTAGTTAATTACGATGAATTATGGTATTATTTATTTCATAAGTAAAATAAGATTGAAAGTTAAAAACAATTCTACTATTTGATTTATAGTCCTTGCGCGACCCCGATGGTAATCAGTACCATCCGTACGAGTACAGTCTTCAGCAATCAGCCGATGGAAATGTGTTGTTAGTGCCAAGGAATCAGACGAATCCTCATCACCCACGTTCTACGACAATGGAACCAAAAGCGAAACCTGATCCTGAACATAAGGAATGAAATTATGGAAAAATCACGTTTTGAAACGTTTGATAAGAGAAACTCTATTTTCTTCGTGTACTGGCCGCACTTTTGCAAGGCAAACATGAATGCGGTGCTCAGATAAAAAATCATTTACAATTTTAAATAGAATAATGAAGAATTCGTGTGAAAAGTTTATTGCTTCACATTCGATATATCTCACCATATGTTTGAATAAGCAGAGGAATTTTTCAAAAATATTTCAGAGACTCACATTGAGTTATATCTTTCTTTACGACTGGAAAATAATCACCAAACGTAAAAATACTGATTGTACATATAGTTATATAGCATAAATAAACCAACAACCTATATAAATAGAAAAAAAGTAGACACCACTTATAAGAATTTGTGTTACATTTAAATGTAAAATTTTTATTTATTATTCTAAAGAATGATGCAATTATGAATTGGTCTTTCCTATATAAAACAAACAAATTATATTATAAAATGTTTTAGATGTCACTTTTTTTCTATTACAATTCAAGGGATCACTATAATATGATAGTATAATTAAAATACTTTTCTTGTAATTCTATTTTGTTATTTTTTTTCCTTCGACATACACTAATAATGTGTTTTAATTCTAAATGCATGTATATGTACATGTATGTTTTTTACGCACCGTGATTATATTATATATATATATATATATAAATATATTATACTTGCCTTTTTACCAAGATTTAATATGTTTCCGGTGCAGTTGTTTCAGTTATAAATATATAATATGATATATTTGATATATAACTGACATAGGTGTAAATTATGTGCGATTGTGTCGAGAAATGTGATCATTCATCAATTCGGATCTATTAAATGAACTTACTTTCAAAATTATATCAACTTGCCAAACTTCACAAATATTTGCATATTTTGATAGAAGTGGAAAGAAATGTCAAGGGTATGTTATGTATTACTCACTATGAATGAGATAAAATATATGAACACGAGATCGAGAAATAAGCCAGAGAAATAAGCATTTGTATAAACAAGATGTTTATAACATGCAACGATAAAAACCGAAAATATTGAATGCAATATTAAACCTGCATTTAAATTGGAAATTAAATGAAAAATAAAAACAATTTAAATAGTAAAAAGTATGTGTTAAAGACATCGAATAATATATATTGTTCTATGAACTGTTTAGTGTTCTGTACAGAAAACTGCTCCAAAAGTGTTAAATTTCAGTCCGTTCAAATAAAATATTAACGAAAAATTGTAATATAAAGTGATAAAGATATCTAGTAATTAATGTGACTATGTGGATACTTTTAACGCAATGTGTTGTATTGCTACAATATTAATAATAGTATTGTTTGAAATATGAACAAAAACATAACAAATACACATATTTTTATAAAGTAAGGGACGAATAAAGTTTAGGTATTTCACATTTGTCTTTGTATGTATATATTAATATAGTTAGAATAATTTTCTATAAATATTATATATATATAAATATAGAACATATGTATTTATGTATATACGTGTATATATATATAAATACATATACGCAAAGTAATAACGAGATATACGTTATAACGTTAAAAACGGAAAAGAAATACTGTTTACGCCGACAATTTATAATAGTCAAGTCTTTATTAACATTTACATACACAATTGTATTTACATTATTGGGTGTAGGCTGCCTTTACGTACTGTATTTAGCGAGTGGAGATCACATTGTTAAGAATTGCTACAGAAAGAATAATTTACAATTACTACTCTGTTCGTGAATCGTACAAACGAACCAGATTTATACAAATTCTCAATTCCATCTGATCACATTGTCATTTTAAGATCTCCCATGTCATTAAATTTCTATATTGTATAAATAAAGCTGAATAAACCTTTGGGGAAATTACTGTATACATTTTAATATGATATATGCATGATATTATTCATCCTTATATTATTTTAAGAAAATTGAAAACTAGAAATAAAACTATAAAACCATTGTACCCATATAAATATAATCTTGATAAACAAAAATAATTTTTGTAATAAAAATGGTATATAATATATTTCTATGCGGAAAAGTAACATAAGCTTTTTATTATTAATAAAATTTGAAAATTTCTAGAAAATAATACAGTATTATAAATTGAAAATATCAGAATTTTATTTTATAAGCTTTGTAAGCTTCCAAACGTTGCAATTGTCAATTCAACCACTTAGCTAATACTATTTCATCATTTTAGATTTCTATAGTATATTTTTTAAAAAGTTATGTTACTTATTATTTAGATACTAATGTAAATGAATTACTATATTGCTGATAGTATTTGTAGTATTGTAGTTTTCGTCGACGTATGAAATCTTATAAAGAGTGGCACCACATCCGCTTTTCGTAAAATTTAATATATGATATAAATGAATTCGTTTGAAAAAATTTCATGGTTATAAATATTGACTATAAGACATACGATAACGATTTGCAAAGATTGTTTAACAATTCTCATTTCTAAATCTGTTTATTATTTCGGTACCATATTCGTTGTCCGATTACAAAATTAACATTTTTTGAAATTAGTAAATGTTTGTACAATAACAATGAAATTGGATACCATGCCTCAATATTAAAGTTAAATAAATTACTTTATTTAACTTTTCTATTCAAAATGCTGAGCTGCATCAATTAGCGTATTAAAAAAGATAAAATTAAATTTAAAAAATAAATTTTACCTTCGTATGTCGTATCGTATATTTAATTATAATAAAATTAATCATATCAAATTGCGTATTCTTCAAAAAAATTATTCAAGTTTTATTTTAAACGTTTATTAGTATTGTCAACAGATTCGAAAATATTTTTGGGGATTGATTTAAACGATTTGCGCAAATTTTGTATGCAACTTTCAGCATTGATCTTGTTCTTATTGCAAATGTTTTTCTTCCTGGTATGTAGTTTGTAAATGCTCACAAATACTTGCAACAAAAATAAGTCTAGAAAATTATATCACCAAGTTTAAAATATACAATTTTACAATAAAATACCTTTTAATATCTTATTACATATTTTCCTTTACTATGATTGTTGTTCCATCTCAGAAGATCTCGTTACGGTTGTGCAACGGTCAAATCCTGACCGATTGACAAGAACATTGTAATTTTTTAATGTGTCGTGTCGTCGTTACGCATCGTTGAAAAACTTCTTGTTTATTGTTTTCGACTGGTCCCAGGCATGCGAAGCAATACGACTATAATTCAATAAACTTAGGCGACGACACTGGGGATTCGGTTAACAAAGGGCCTGTGGGGAGTCCGCATAAGTCTCCATGCATAGTACGCTTAGACTTCGGCGTGGGGTCATAAGTGGATATTTTCCAGACGCGGTCATTCTCACTAAAATCACCAACGCGCGAGTGATCTTCATGCGTGTCACCTTGATGGAAAAGGTTCCTCGACCGCGATCCTCGGTGAGGACATTTTCTTGTTTTTAAGGTGATTGATTCGCAGATCAAGGAAACGTCCTTGGTCTTATTTAATCATTCAGAGCACCATTAGCCTTTTAGCGAACTCTCGATTTTCCTCGGTACAATCACTCCGAAAATCGAGGAATCAGTCGTTCTTACGACTTTTAGATCTTACATTATTTGACTATCCTCAAATTTCTCATAAAACGCTACTATCGTCTATATTCGACTTGGTTGTAATCTAGCATTCGACACATCGTAGTCCTTCTTGCTCGCGATTATTTGAACTGATTACTCAAAATTAATTTCATGAGCAACACTGACAAAGCATAGCACGGCGGATTTACGACCCGCCAAAATTCATCGAAGAATTCAAACGCGACATGAAAATTGTTATCATTATTTTTACTATGTTATAAAATCATATCTATTCTATTCTTCCTGTCATATATATATACATACTGCGTTCACATAGTATATGTATATACAATTTAGCTTGAAACAAATCATTTTATTGTAATAATTTCTAAAATTTTTATTACTAAAATTAATTATAAAGAATTTATTACTTATAGGAATTTTCCAATATCAAAAGAGAAGAGACAGAATTTTAATCATTCATTTATAAATGATTATATAAAATTTGAAGTATGAAGGAGAAGGTACTAGACAAATTCAAAATATTTAAAGTTCTGTACATTTCAGTTCAAATACTTTTTAAAAAGTTAGATGAAATAATGCATAAGAATATGTTACAATTCAATGGAAAACATTAAACACTTGTTAGATTATTGTAACAGAAATTATTTACTAGTAGAAAATGAATTTTTCAAATATTTCTGAATATCTTTCTTTTTAATCGATTAAATTACTATTCATTAATCTCGTTCATGCAAGATTCCAAGTTGTAGTAACATATCGATAATTATTATGATTTATGTAGTTGCTAAGAGGCTAACAAAGTATTTAGTAATGGCGCCCGAAGAGTGGTTGAGTCTTATTCAAAATGCTACAAAAGTTGCAATTATCCAAGATGGTAAGATAATTTAAAAATAATTAATAAGTTAGATTTAAAATCTTTGTCACGTATTGAATTCTTTTGAACAAAAATTAGTTACATAATTATTCGAAACTAAAGATTTTAAAACATGTAATTTTAACCTTAAAGATGTTTGATCAATAAGTATCCGTTGATTATTTTTGTTTTTTTTGTTACAAAGTCACATCTATGATATATTATTAAATTATTATTATTAGAGGTGTAATATAAATATACTTCACAGAATAATTGATATAAACATACATGGTACATTTTCATATTTGTTTTGATTATTGAAATTATGTTGTTTCAATATATATTTTACTTTTTAGGATTGTAATATAAATTGATAACTGTTCAATATTTGATAATTTTTTATTACATAAAATCATGTTATATTTCCTTAAAATTTATGAATCTATCTACATTTTTGTTTATAGGAAAGAAGAAAGTTCATTTTGTATTGGAAGATGGCAGGGAAATGGTAGAAGAATATCACTTGGAAACTAATGTTTTAGTACGAAGAGCATGGAAAGAAAAAAATAGACTTGGCCAAGATATAGGTTGGAATGTAGAAATTGGAGATCCTGAACCCAAACAAAATAATATTGAAGTCTGCGGAATTCAGGAAAGTTCAAATGCTGTAAAGTTTGTTTTACAAAGTATCAAATTACATTATATATATGATACGAAATACATATTTAAGTTTTTTATGTAAAATGTAATTAATAATAACTGCTATGTTATATTTGTATAATAGCCATTTATTACAAGAAGAATTACAAAGACTTCACTTGAATGGCGTATAAGAAATTTATCATATCCGCAGAATGTATATTCTGTAACTGCAGAAGATGATGGAACGATAACTGTTCGTACAACGAATAAAAAATACTTTAAGAAAATAATAGTTCCTGATTTAGAACGTGCTGGGGTAAAACCAGAACAGGACAGAATATCTTTTACACATCAATATAATACATTGATTATTACGGTATGAAAGACATTTATGTTTTTAATATCTTTACATAAGATTTATATTTGTATATTTTGTAGTACAAAAAACCTCCTGCACTGATGGATCTGGAGAAAAAGGTGTTGGTTGAAATATCATCAGTGCCAACAAAACAAAGTGGCGATGTTCAATGTCCAACAAGCTAATAAAAATATTTACTTCTAAAAGCTTTTCCTTTTTTGGCTTGCCCAAAGTCATATCATAATCACATTTATATAGTGACGCGAATATGTATGAAAAATTAAATTAAAAAATTAAATTAAGAATCATTTATTAATAATAGAAATATTATTAATATATGACTGAACATTTTATTGGAAATTATTAAAACGTATTTTTTTAACCTGTATAACCTTTATATGTATAATAACGAACAGAGTTAAAGTAAGTATTTTAATTATTTTATTTCGATTTATATGAGATGCATGAGACAACGAAAAATGTATTTTGTTTGAAATCAATTCGTTAATATAGCGGCGTTGCGCGCGAAAATCGAGAGGTCGATTGATCGTTCTGCGTCGTGAGTACCATCGACTGTATCTGTCTGCTGCGTGTGTGTACTGTGTTAGTGGTATTGCGCTTTGGTGTTGTGCTTTTAATTTTGCATTATAATATCTAAATAGGTGACGAATATGCCAAAATCTATACCTGAGAGGCAAGTATTATTTATTTTTTATTTTTGATAATACCATTGAGTTTGTTGAAACATTTAAAACTATTTATTCATTGATCTTAATCAGAGGTCACATTGCATAGAGGTTATGTTATGCCGACTTTTCTTAGCATTTTTAATAATGCTTTTCTAAGCTAAATTACTGGTAGAGGATTATTTAATTATGGATTGAATTGCTATTGTAGGTATTGAATTCTATGTACTACGTAACTACAATTAATTATAAATTTTTAATGTTTCTAAATGTATTATTCGACGCAGTTTGTATGGCGGCTATCTTATCGATCGAGAAACGCACCTTTCTTTATTGTGTGGTAGCTCATAGATGGTGCTTTTTTCTTTGAATTTAACAATACATATCAGATATAAAAATTAAAATATCTTTGTTTAAATAAATTATATTGACCTTTACTCATGAAATAAAACTTTGAAAATTTAATTCTTAGTATTATGCGTTAAATAATTTAAATTTTCGTCATCTAAAATTGCTATCAATGAATACAAGGAAGCGCTTACATGCCGATATTCATTTTTTCGTTCAATATCATCTGTTGCATGACCTGTTCAATGATACATGTGTGCGTGTGTCTGTGTTCGCGTATATATATATATATATATATGTATATAATGTGTATATATGCAAACTCACGTGATATACATATATATTACTATACATACACGCAGTATATATTTCGCATAATTTAAGATTTTTGTCACTATATTTTGTTCACTATTATTATTTTATATTTTAGGTGGTTGGAATATAAACCTTATGGCACAGTGATCAGTGGTACAAAAATTCTACCGTTTAAAGTACCACTGAAAGAGGTGAGCCTTTTCGTAAATAAATAATAAAAATCTCAAGTTAGATATGCGTCTCCACTTTTTTATGCATTCATTTATTACTTGTAATAAATTTATTAATTTCACAATACTTTAATCAATACGTTTATTAATTATAAATCTTAAAGAATGTAAAAAAGTTATTTGATTTCTTTAATCGTGGTTTTAAAAGTCGTGTTATTAAGAGACCTTTAAGACTTGATTCAAATCTTAAAGATTAATTAAGTAGAACAAAAAATTTAGGACATTTTTGAAAATTAATTTTTTATCACTTAATTATAATTTATTAAATTTTAATATATTCTTATAATATTTAGCTTTGTCTAAAATAATCTAATCTAAAATAAATTAAATTCAAAGAAAAAAAAATATCATTTGCGATCAAATTCAACGTAGAATTAAATTACCTTGAAATATATTTCTTGTGCTATAATTATTTTAATATGAAAACATGTAACTAGCTTACTTATTAACGTAATAAGTTATGATTGTGATATATATTCCAAGGCAAATAGCTGAAAAAATGAATAATCATAGCGACATTCATACCGTAATATGATGCTGCTATATGCTGTTACATACTAGTAATGTATATAATGGATATATAGAATCAAAGTATCATCATTATGTATGAAATTTCATGTACAAAATATTTCGAAATTTGAAGTGAACAATTAATCATAAATATTTAATGTTTTTCTAAAGTGAAGTTAGAAAAATGATTTTCATTTGCAAATCGTGTTTCTAGAATCATCGCTGTTAAACGTATGGTTGGTGTCCTCAGAGTCGCGTTACTGTTCTTTTTATGCTTTCTTCCATACTAAATCAAAGATCCTCTTCGCGGGGGTCGTGGTGGCTTCGAAGCCGAGATAAGATCGCATCGAATTCCAGAAATAGAGGATACAGTGCCGGTATCCATACGCGTCGGTGCGTCTCGTACGAGTTAGGTATGCGTATACACGTTCCAAGGTACGTGGCACGGGCCACCGTGAAATCGATGCATACCAGTGGTATAGAAACCATTTTTATATACTGTAAAGTTGATCAATGCGATATAAATAACAAAATATACATAACAATTATTAAAACTAGATATAACATACATAATAATAAGAAAAAATTCTAAGCTTTATGATCGTTGTATTTTTCATAACCTCTAAAAATTACTTTCCAATATTTTTCATTTTTAATTAAAAATCTTGTATCCGAAACATTAATCGATTCAAAATTTATAATTATAATTTATAATTTATAAACTCTTACCATCAATGCAATGTGCATTAATTTAACATATTCATCGTTGTAATTTTTGGAATACCTCAATTAGTGCTTGTCATTTTCCTATCACTTTGAATGTGTCATGTGAAACATTTCTCTGAAATAATTAAAGTTTGTTAAAAAGTTGAAATATATAGGTGTAAAAAGTGCGCGTATAACGCGATATTTCATCGAATAAAAATTGATTCTATACCACTGGTGTGGCATCGGGAACGAGGGAGGCTTGTTTGTCGATGGACGATGGTTGGTAACGGTAAGGTGGGAAAGGCACCTCCGTGAGATCTCGTATCGGTCCGAGCCAAATTGCTGTATTGTTGCATGTCCCGACTCCAGCGTAGATATAAACAAGCTTGATGTATGCACACACTTTCGTCCAATATGCGCGGCAGTGCTTTTTGGATCGTGAATAGCCAGGCTCGATTGTTTGCCTAGTAGCTGAACAAAGTGCGATCGTACGCTCCCATGCTGGCTGCCGCTGTGTGATGTATCGCACTCGTGCTGTGATCTAGCGGCATTCACTGAAGTTTCTTGATTTTAAGGATACACGCGTGGAACCTAGTGACATCTTTTTTCCATTTTCCCATTTACCTTTATCACGGTAACTGTTTTATCATATTTTCTTCGTTTATTTTTCTTTCATTATATATTTCTGATTAAAGTGCAGATTTTTGTAATTTCAATATGGATTCGATTGATCTACAAGAGATTATGGAATAAAAATTGGTTAATACGTTGAATTACCATGAGATGTGATGGTTTTCTCGTTTTATAATAATTGGGTAGAAATATCTATAATTTAAAATTTAAAGAAAGCGATTTCAAAGGCATCTTTAACTATTTTTGGATTATTTAAGTATTTTATACAAGTTTTAAAAATCTTTAGTAATTTCTGATTAGGCTTGTTCTTTATATCGCGATCTACCCCGTGTTCAATTACAGATTTAGATTTATTATACTTTATTATATTTATTGATAATTTCGTAAAATTTTCCAAGTTTTAGAAAATTGAATTTCTTAATTTTTAAAAATGAAATAAAAATGAGTTGCTATTTCAACTGTGATATTTCGTATTATATTTTAAAATTATTGATATTTCAACTAATCCCCGTGTATTCAAAAAAGAAGAAACATTTTCTTTGTGCAAACTTGTACTATAAATTTTATCATATTTTTTAAAACCTTGATAGAAAAACGTGAAACTTTGCTCTCTTTTATTTCTCTCTAATAATTCATTTACAAAAGGAGACGTTGGTTAGTAATAACACAAATTCCCTATACGGATTTACCACGCTTGCAAACTATGTACATTTTCCTCCATTATATTTCGTAACAAAATATTCGGAGCATTGATATACACTGATATTGCCAATAACTCCACGTGGAATTTCACAGAAATTCGAAAGAAAAGAAAAAAAAGAAAAAAATGCCATAACCTCCAATAATTTTTAACGGTTATTTATCGACACTCTGAAAACACTGAATATATTAATTACACCTGTTCAATGGTAATTACACACTCTAACCCTTTTCACTCGTATATCGCCATATAGTCGCCATCTTACATTTCATTATTATACATATATAAAATTTGTGAATTTTTCTAATTTTTCCTACTAAACCGACAAGTTAAATCACAATATCTTCCCATAAAAATGTTTCCATTTTGATCACGTATGAACAAAAATTCCTAGTTTATTGGTAGTTTTCTCAAATATAAATTCGAGTGCAATTATACAGTTTTTAAACCTTTGCACTCGACAATTTTTCCGTTACAAGAAAATAGCAATGCAAAGACTTTCTACCATAAAGTCGAGAATATTTTTAAAACGGTAAATAAGAAATCGTATGCAAATTAAGACGTAGAATTATTTTACTTCGATATTCCACGCATCGTTGGATAATTGTAAATTTGATATATTAATTAACCACTTACGATTTTGGAACAAAAGCATCTCGACGTGCGTGGCACGTCTTTCTAGCGCAAGCATCCATCTTTGAAATTTGATTAAATGGCGACTGAGAGTCACTTGTCGAGTGCAATATTAATACATATTGAAAACCATGACCTTCAACAACATGCTCGAATCTCTGTGGTCCATAGACACGTATCCGCTAAAGTTTAATGCTGATATTGCAACTGATGTGAAAATCAGTAAACACTGGGAACATTGGTAAAAGGTGCGAACGAAAAGTGGTTCAGATGAAAGGTTCGAGTGGATGTGTCGGCAACATGTGCGTACATCAACCGTTAGAGCCATATTGCGCGATAATAAAATGCATCTATATCACCTGAACAGAGTTCAAAGGCTTTTAAGGCACTCTGCTTCACAAATGGCTTTTCGTCATTGCGCGACTCAGCAACGCGTTAATAATTCGCGATTTTTATCAACTACTTTGCCAACAGATAAGAGAGCAAATTTTACAAAAGACAGTGCACTGTTTATAATAAACATTGGTGGTCACTTGGAAACTCGCGTGATGCCAATGAAACGCGTTTTTGAGGTTATGGAGCGTAAATACGTGAGCCGGAGTACTTGGATTTTCGAGAATATCCTTGTTTCTTGAATTGCTTTATTCCATCCATCATCCCGAATGGTGCAAATATTATATATGTAGGATACCAAAAGAAATCGCGAATCGGCTGTTGCCAACAAAAACAAATTGTAAACCGATTGATATCTTCTAGAAGCAAATCGAAAAGTTATTCTATATAACAAAATTAAGTTGCTTGACTCCTCTACGGGGTGGTGAAGCGTAGGTCAAGGGAAGCATAAAAGCGTGGTCCTTGACAACCAAAACAGAGTCCTTGGAAATCGGTTGTGACCAGCACAAGCGTGAGTCGCTTGGTGTTGGAAAGAGAGTTTTAAAAGAGTGCGTCTTTGTGTGTTTTCGTTATCTTGGTGTTCTTTCCCTAAGTTAAATCAGTTTACGAGTTTTGAGTTTGTGTTATAATGTTTCCATTTTGATCACGTATGAACAAAAATTCCTAGTTTATTGGTAGTTTTCTCAAATATAAATTCGAGTGCAATTATACAGTTTTTAAACCTTTGCACTCGACAATTTTTCCGTTACAAGAAAATAGCAATGCAAAGACTTTCTACCATAAAGTCGAGAATATTTTTAAAACGGTAAATAAGAAATCGTATGCAAATTAAGACGTAGAATTATTTTACTTCGATATTCCACGCATCGTTGGATAATTGTAAATTTGATATATTAATTAACCACTTACGATTTTGGAACAAAAGCATCTCGACGTGCGTGGCACGTCTTTCTAGCGCAAGCATCCATCTTTGAAATTTGATTAAATGGCGACTGAGAGTCACTTGTCGAGTGCAATATTAATACATATTGAAAACCATGACCTTCAACAACATGCTCGAATCTCTGTGGTCCATAGACACGTATCCGCTAAAGTTTAATGCTGATATTGCAACTGATGTGAAAATCAGTAAACACTGGGAACATTGGTAAAAGGTGCGAACGAAAAGTGGTTCAGATGAAAGGTTCGAGTGGATGTGTCGGCAACATGTGCGTACATCAACCGTTAGAGCCATATTGCGCGATAATAAAATGCATCTATATCACCTGAACAGAGTTCAAAGGCTTTTAAGGCACTCTGCTTCACAAATGGCTTTTCGTCATTGCGCGACTCAGCAACGCGTTAATAATTCGCGATTTTTATCAACTACTTTGCCAACAGATAA